GCATCATGACCATCAGATCTCAAGCCTCAGGTAATGTCCCAGACCCTGGGGATTTAGATGGCCTTTGATGGTATTAGAGGCCATAAATGTCAATTCAGACCCTGGCTGAGGTAGGGCCATGGATCCAGACATGGCCCTACACCAGAGCCCAGGCTTGGATGTCACCATGGTCCTGGGTGGTAGTATAGGCCATCCAAATAAGCATGGCTCCTGTGGCCTCATGGCCCTCATGCACCAACATGGACTCAGGGGTCTGACTAGATCCTGGTTATCCACATGGCCTTCAGTGGTTAATGAAGCCATGGACATCAACACAAATCCTGGCTGCTTCAGGGCTATGTTCCCAGACATGACCCCTGGCAGCAGCTCAGGCCCGGATGTCATCATGTCCCCTGGTGGCAGCAAGGCCCTCAGACACCAAAATGGTCATAGACAGTGGCCCAGAACCCAGCATCTCTATGGCCTTGGTAGCAACATGGCTCATGGACATCAATACACCCCCCAACTGTGGTAGGACCATGGGCATAGATATGGCCTGAGGTGGTAGCCCAGGCCCAGATGTCACCCTGCTCCTGTGTGGCAAGCATCAGTCCATTCCTAACTGGCCTTGTCTCTTCAGAATTGCCCCTTACCATAGCACACACACAATTCCACCTCTTTTTCTCTGTCATCTCTCCACCATGTGCTTGCTCATCATCAGGGCCTGTGGATGCCTTCAGGAAGGCCAGTATGTGAGAACCTAGGCTGCCCTGTGTATGTCTTCCACCCACCTGAGCTGTGTGGCATCAGGTGAGCCTGTGAATACCTTGACAAATTTTCTTGATGAGGGGGGCGACACCTATACTTACCTGTGAGTATAAGGACAAATGTTTATATATTTTTGTCAGGGATTGTGTTGGTTTAGTAATTTATAGGTCGAAGATTCTTCTCCTTCTATAAGCATGATTTCACTAGCACTGGATAGTTACCGAGGTTTCCAATACCAGGCTTGGCATCCATCTTTTTGAGCAGGTCTTACAACCAATTAGAAAGCCATTGGTTACCATCAAGGTAAACACCTATTGCTGAAGACACCACACACATGGTTTCAAAGACCCATGATCTGGAACTAACCTGAATGGCCCCTTCCTGAGAAATCACTATCATGGTACCAGAAGGCTCCATGAAAGCTTCCAAAGGAAGGAGGCACCTAATATCTTACGTAGATATGAGACCTACAAACCTCATCAACAGCCTGCATTGCATGACGCAATACAGATACACATATGTAACATGAAAATAAAAGACCCGTGACTGATGTCGGGGTTCAAGCTTCAAGCTAAAGATCAGAAAAGAAAAGCAACTGGCCACTATCTCTCACCTTTACTGAATGGTGATTCTGGCTCCTCAGACTGCAATCCCAGACTGTTACTCTCCTCAACTTGGCTGGAGAATCCCGAGACTTCAATGCCTTCCCATCCTCAATGTGCCTGGAGAATGAATGCCAGCCCTGAGACCCCTTTCCTGTCTTAAATACCTCCCTAAACCTGGGATTAAAGGCATGTGATCCCAGGTGCTGGGGTCAAAGGCATGAGCTCTGTTATTCTTCATTCTTGTGTAGGCCACGGCAGCCTTGGACTCACAGAGATCTGTTTGCCTCTTAATCCTGAGTCCTGGGATTAAAGGTGTGTATGACCACTACCTAATCTCTAAAGCTTGATGCTGACTTCTCTTTCTGAATCCTCAGGCAAGCTTTAATAAATTATAAATAATATATTACCATACACACACCTTGTATTCCTTTTATTCCTATTCTTGTCTTACTGCTCTAGCCAAGATTTTAACAACTATATTGAATAGGTGTGGAGATAGTAGTCACCCCTGTTTCTCATTTTAGTGAGACTGATTTTTTCCTTCATTTAGCACCTTGTTGACCATAAGCATGATACATATAGCCTTTATTGTGTTTAGGTGTGCACCACAATTACCTCATCATAAAATGGTGTTGGGCTCTTGTCAAAGAGAGGTTTTGTGATTTCTATCTCATGTCAATACCTGACTACCTTTGTAGATTTCCATATGGTAGTCTACTGAATCTCTGGAATGAAGGCAACAACTTAGTCATAATAAAGATTTTTGATATGTCCTCGAATTATAATTGCAGTATTTTATTAACAACTTTTAGAGCTTTGTGGCTAAGAGAAAGGGGTCTCTAAATTTTGCAGCTGATGCTGTTGTTGAATCTGGTCCTGGTTTAGTACCAGGATAATACTGGTCTCATAAATAGCTTGAGAGGGACTGATTAGGTGAAGGATGTGACAGCCAAGGCAGTAAAGATAAGGGAGTAAATGATGCAATTATATTTTCATTTAAAAAAGAAGAAGTAAAAAGTTTTTATTTTGTCAATAACTTGAGTAATATCAGTATTCTTTAAAGTTTTTGGAAAGTCTGCAGTGAGGCTATCTGGTCCTGGGTGTTTTTGCATGGAGGGGCAGACTTACTTTTGTTAGACATTTATGACTGCTTCAACCTCATTGCCGGCTCTGTTTAATCATTTGTATCTTTTTGTTTTATGTTTGGCTTATATCTTGATGTTTATTCATTTCTGTCATATTTTTCCATTTTTCCAAAAAGAGGTTTTAAAAATATATCTTTATGTTTGTTCTGGATTTTATCTCTATCTGCTGTAATGTCTCCTTTTTGTTTCTAATCTTATGAACTTGGGTCTTCTCTCATTCCCATTAATTTGGCTAAAGGTTTGCCAATTTTTAAAAATGTTTTCAAAAAATGGATTTGGTTTCATTGATGTTTTCATATTTTAAAAATGGTTCTCTTTAATAGTCATGCATGCTGACCTGAACAAGGGGAGCTCATGGACCCCAGACTGATAGCTGTGAAACCAATTTAGGACTGTTCCAGAACCCTGAATGTGGATATCAGTTTGGAGATCTGGGTAATCTATGGGGCCTCTGGTAGCTCTGGCAGTGGATCAGTATTTATCCCTAGTGCACGAATGGACTTTGGGAAACCATTCCACAAAGAGGGATACTCTCTCAGACTAGACACACGGGGGAGTGCCTAGGCCCTGCTCCAAATGATGTGACAGACTTTGAAGATCCCCCATGGAAGGCCTTCACCTTCCCTGGGGAGCAGATAGGGGATGGGATAGGGGGCCGGTGGGGGGCAGAGGAGGAGGGGAGGGTGAGGGAACTGGGATTGACATGTAAACAAGCTTATTTCTAATTTAAATAAAATTAAAACAATAATGCATGTAGTATATTTTGATCAAATTTACTCACCATCCCTTCCTTTCCAATCCCCCCATCACTCCCTAGCTCCTTTTATTCCAAGTGTCATCTGTTACACTTATTTTTTTAAATGTTTCTATTGCCTACTGAGTTCTCTTAATTCATGTGGAGTATAGGTAGCCTCTTGGAGCTCACTTCCCTGAATAAATGTGATTCCCCCTCTCCCCATAAGCCATCAATGGTTAATACCGTCTTGAATAGGGATGAAAATTCATTTGAGCCTTTCCCATCCATGCTGGGATCTTGGCTGGCTTGATCTTCTGCAAGGCTTATGCATGCCATCCCAGTCACAATGAAACTTCACTGTTCTCACTCAAGAGCAAGAAGACCAGACATATAGAAACAGAGAGTAAAATAGGAGCTGAAGAGGATCCACTGGGAATTTAGAAGCAGAGGGGAAGGGAAGACAAAGACAAGGTGCATAGTGTTTGGTAAATCCAACTGAAGGGAGAATGCTTTAGCCACTTGCACCGCCACAGTCTAGCACAAGTAACTAGAAACCTCTAGATGTCTACAGGAAGATCTTGAAGACTCAGAAATTTAAATATTTGAGTATATTTCAACAACAATGACACTGATCGTGTCAATTCACTGCATATTGTATGTGTAAACAGAATTCAGTCTGTGCTCTAGAAACAACAAATATTATGCCTCAGTTAAATAAAAGGTTTAAATAAAATCCAAAATTCAGTTTAGTTCCCATAAGGTGTTGTGGAAGACACAGGCTGTGGGAAGCTGGGGTCAAATCTGCATAGGCTAGTAATTCATTGTCCATTGGGTTTATAGGCTAAAACTGTATATGAATATACATGAAACACATAAGTACACTATTTTTCATACTTACATGCCTATGGCAAAGTTCAGAGCATCAGACAATAAGCTCAGGTTTTAACAACAGGACAGTATCTATGGCAGACTATATTGAAATGCCTCTCTTGGCATTCTTGTATGTTGAAGCACTGAAGATTCTGGAAGTGTCACCTGAACCACAGTCCTTTAATGGCAGACATGGTGACCCTAATGTCTCTGACACGGTAACTGGGAACCTAGTACAGGGTTGAGGTGCTGGACAAGGGAGGGTCATAGCTCAATCCAAGTCAGTGGAGCAGCATATTGTGCAATCACATTTCACAGAGAATTGAGCTGGGTAAATTCATGTTGGTTAAAAATATCAAATCCAGAAATGTTCATAAAGTCTTTTAGAAAAAGGTTGCTGGTATATAGAACCCTGTAATCAGACCATAACCAAAAGAGAATAAAGACCATCACAGAAAAACCACTCACTAGGTCTCCTAGAATGCTGCCACCACACTCAATGCTGTCTTCAAGATAAATTACATGTTCAACTATTAAAAAATACTTCACAAAATGGAGAGAAACTAGAAATTATATTTGAATTTAATCTTTTTAAAGACACCATTTGAATTACCATTAAAATTGAAAATTAATTTTCTGCAGGAGTCATAAAGAAACATCAGTTACAATACTGGCAATGTTGGAATAGAGTGAGCAGGTCCCAGAATCCACATGGCAGTGTAGCTCTTCGGGAACTGTTGAACACACTCAGCAAAGGCTGGTCACTGTGCAGTGGAAGACACTCCACTGAATGCTGCCTCTGCCAAGTCCTCCCTTGGGGCCATGCAAAGGCTGGTCACTGTGCAGTGGAAGACACTCCACTGAATGCTGCCTCCTCCCTTGGGGCCACCCGGCTGCTCAGAATATGTTGGGGAAGCTGGCATATGAAGCAATTGCACAGTGGTTGTTTTGATCTTTAGCAATCTTCATGTAGCCCTTCATGCCCCATTCCTCACCCCAGCTGGAAGGAAACATGTTTTTAATTTAGTAGAAAGATCAATGCATGGTTGACTTAAAATAACTGGCAAGAGGCCAGAAGGGTCATTAAAAATCAAGGGTCTACTCCTGAATACCAAGAGGTACCTCATACAAGATTGTGAAGACCACAGGGGAGAAAGGGTAGTTCAGTCCTAACTACGGTGTCAGATTTTAGAAAAACAATGGCACAAAATAATATTGATACCCCCCAAAACAGTGATGGAAGGGAAATGTTATGATAACATATTGTGAATAAGTTATTTATGGTATAGGAGAGCTCAGAGGTTAAGGATTGGAGACCAGTGTAAAGAGCCATTTAAAAAGCCAGATTAACATTGTAGTGCCCTGCAGCAAGGTCTCAGGACATGGACACAGGACATACCTGGAACAAGCTGGCTAACCAAACTAGGCAGCGAACTCCTCCATCAGTGAGAAGCACTGCCTCAATTTAGAACTTGGGTAATGATTGAGAAACAACTGATACCAACATGGTGCCTCTACACAATGCAACTGCGCACACAGGTGTCAGAGACATAAAAGCATGCTTGCATGTACATCTCCCTCATACATGTACATGGGAAAATAAAAACAGACTGTGTTCAACTTAAGTGGCACAAATTTTCTAGTCTGTGAATCAAGCATTAACTGCAAGAGATCATCTCTTTGTGAGTCCTCTGCAAGGGCCCCAGTGCTTTAAACATTGAACCATCTCTCTAGTCATCAGAATTTCAAATACAGATTTGGGTATATTTTGGCAGTTTATACCTGTTCTTGATTAGCCAGTAGTTATTGCCATCTGTTTCATTTCCCTCAAATCCATAGCCAACCACCAGAACTGCATGATTGGTCAAATAACTGCTGCAATTTGGCTCATGATAAATACCTGAGAAATAGAACAGAAGCAGATGAGAGGGGCACAGGACACCTGACTGTGACCACTCCCACCAACAACGGGGAGGCATTTCAAAGATCCCAGAAATGCTGTAAGCTACAGAGAGACTTAAGAGCTGAATAAATTGTTACTGCAAATACTAATTATACATATGAACATATATAATCATGCAGGGAGATATATCCATTAAATGTGTGTGTGGTTTGCATCTTCTGCCTCACAACTGCTGGAATTAAAGGCAGGCACCACCACTAATATACATATATATATATATATATATATATATGTTTCATATATATATATATGAAAATTTCACAGAAAACTGAAGAAACCAAAATAAGCATGGATTTGTTGATTTAAAAAATTTCCTAGGTGCTTATAAAATGAGTAACTGGAATCTTTAATTTTTAAACTAGAAGTTCATGCCAAGTAAAACTCACTGAATAGGACTTACTTAATTCAAGAGGCTTATTTATAATTTGATTCAGGCATACAACCTCCATAAAAATATCTAACACCCACCAAATTGAGGACAGTTTTAAAATAAGCTAAACAATAGATCTTATGAAATATGATGCACTTGCTTGCATGAAAGGGTCATATCAGTGGAAGATAGAACTCGGTATTATTGTGTGGGGAGGAAAATTCAGAAACGCAAACAGCACTTCATGAACACAGCATGGGGATGTCACCTTCTTTTCCTATCTGGAGGGAAATATATTTACCTCCCCTGTAGAACCTGAAAGAATCGTGGGAAGCATCAATGGCAGCAGCGACAGGGCCAATCATTGACACAGCAACCAGCAGGTAATCCTCGTGTGCTGGCAGGGACACAACTTCTGTGATATAAGCTCTAGAGTTATTAGGGTTGTACCTGCACGGTCCATCCTTAAAAAGTAAAGAGATAAGAGGCTCAGTTATTTCCACCCACCTCCTGGAGGCATGCATCAGAAACACAACCCTGCACTTGGCAGCTAAGCATCCCCATGTCTGGAATGTTAGAAATCACCCCAGGAAGTGAAATGTTACTGGGAGATTTGGAACTGAACAATCAACTCTCATGCCTTCAATGAACCTCACAGGTCTTTAAGTCTGTAAGAAATCATGCAGGGAGATATATCCATTAAAGGTTTGTGTATTCTCTGTGTGCATAGAAGCAGGAACTGCTACAAGGAAACCATCACATTAGAAGCCTGTGTAAAGACCAATGCTCTGTTGAGACCATTGATAGTGTAGAGCGATTCTACCTTCCAATGTGAGTTCTGAAGACAATACATTATTATGCACTTTCTCCTTGCCTGACTCTGGCTGAAAGGACAGCAGCATAGAAGATCCACTTACTTTTGCCTCATATGGGTAGGTTTCTTCAGCCTCCAGACCTCCATTGTGCAAAACATACTGGTAGGCGCTATATGCATCACCCCGAACACACCCATTATTGCCTTGAGGTTTAGAACAATCCAGTAGGTTCTGCACACTTAGAGTGGTCAGATTGCCAGTTCTCCAGAACATCTGTCCTTCTATGGCACCAATTGCAGCAAAAGCCCAGCATGAACCGCACTGACCCTGAGCAGGGACGTAAAGATTGTCAACACATGAACAAAGTAAACCCATCAACAGCACAGACAGGCAATCATTTATGAAAATGGCATACTAGTAGTTGATAGATGCCTAGGGAAAGATAGTACTCTCCTGGGGACATGACTGCTGGTGGTTAGCCCATGCCCCAGTCAATGGCCACACATACACGAACATTTGAGTAGGACCTACTGATTTCATGGGTTATTAATGACAACAAAGGAGAAATAAAACCCAGAGACAGTGTGTGTGTGTGTGTGTGTGTGTGTGTGTGTGTGGTGTGTGTGTCTGCTGTGTGTGTGTGTCTGCTGTGTGTGTGTATGTGTGTGTGTGTGTATGTGTGTGTGTCTGCTGTGTGTGTGTGTATGTGTGTGTGTGGTGTGTGTGTGTGTGGTGTGGTGTGTGTGTGTGTGTGGTGTGTGTGTGTGTGTGGTGAATTGCTAAGATAAATATTCATTGTATAAATGCATGGAGCTTTCATAGAATAAAAAAATGAACTGCACATTTCTTCATACTCAGTATACACACAGAGACATCAAGTATTTGGTCTACAAAGTTGTTTAAGAATATGGGCATGTTCATCCAGCAGCTGGTGAAGCAGAAGCAGACACCCACAGCTAAACACTGAACTGAACTGGAATCCAGTTGCAGAGAGGGAGGAGTGATGAGCAAAGGGGTCAAGACCAGGCTGGTGAAACTCACAGAAACAGCTGACCTGAACAAGGGGGAGCTCTTGGTCCCCAGACCGACAGCTGGGAAACCAGTATGGGACTGATCCAGACCCCATGAAAGTGGGTGTCAGAGAGGAGACCTCGGAAATCTATGGGGCCTCTTGTAGTAGTTCAGTACTTGTCCATAGCATAGGAATGGACTTTGGGAGCCCATTCCACATAGAGGAAGACTCCCTCAGCCAAGACATATGGTGGTGGGCCCAGGCCCTATCCCAAAGGATATGACAGACTCTGATGACACCCCTATGGAAGGCCTCACTCTCCCTGGGGAGCAGAAAGGGTATTGAATAGGTAGGGTGTTAGTGGGGGGGATGGAGGGGAGGGAAGGGAGTGGGAACTGGGATTGACATGTAAAACAGTATTGTTTCTAATACAAATAAAAATAAAAACAAAAAGGGAAAGAAAAGAATAAAGACATGTGCTGCTGTCTTACCTGTTTCCGAACAGGAGTCACAAAGCCTTTCTTTGTCCAATCCTCAGATTTGGGCAAGTCATTAAGTAGGGGATTTTGGACACTTTTCACCTTCACAGCAGCTGGAACTGGGATATCAGTCAGAAATGTTCTGTATTCTTCACCAGTCTTCAAGGAAAATACATTAGTAAACAAACAAAACAAAATGAAATGAAATGACTCCATGTAAAGAACTGAAGAAAACCCGGTGTGTAGCAACCCATGCCCTACTCACCATGTCACCAAAGGCATTCATTTCCACAGTGAAACCATGCTTTCCCTGGCCATCCTCACCATTGTGAGTTCTTATCATCTGCATGTTTTTTTCCCATACTGCTCTCTTCCATACTTCTTCTTCCTGGAAATGAGCATAATGAATGTCATTTCCCTATAACTAAGTTCTGGAAAGATCTGACCAAGTGGGCATGCTGCTGCAGCTGAACAGAGGTCAACAATGAGAGGGAGCTACAGACACTACAGGATAGCCACATACTCTCCACATGCTGAGAAAAAGAGAATCTGGTCAGCCTGTGCTCAGAATGCCTGTGATTAGGTCATTTTCTTTCTCTCTTCTTCTGTTTTTTCTCTCTCTCTCTCTCTCTCTCTCTCTCTCTCTCTCTCTCTCTCTCACTCTCTCATTTAAATTAGAAACAAGCTTCTTCTACATGTCAATCTCAGTTCCCTCTCCCTCCCCTCCTCCCCTGCACCCCACCAACCCCCATCCCAATCCCTTTCTACTCCCCCCAGGGTGAGGCCTTCCATGGGGGATCTTCAAAGTCTGTCATATCATTTGGAGCAGGGCCTAGACCCACTCCAGTGTGTCTAGGTTGAGAGAGTATCCCTCTCTGGGGAATGGGCTCCCAAAGTCCATTTGTACTAGGGGTAAATACGGATCCACTACCAGTGGCCCCATAGATTGTCCAGACCTCCAAACTGACCTCCTCCTTCAGGGGGTCTGGAACAGTCCTATGCTGGTTTCCCAGGTGTCAGTCTGGGGTCCATGAGCAACCCCTTGTTGAGATCAGCTGTGGGTTTCTCCAGCCTGGTCTTGACCCCTTTGTTCATGTGATTAGGTAATTTTTCAGTGAGGGGTGAGGTCTATGACCTCTAATGTGTCTACACACTTTCAACAGCAGCGACAATTCATTCTGAGGTCCTTCTGGACAGTTTTCAAGTCACCAACCTGGCTGTATGATTTTTCATATTTCTTCTTCCACTGTTGCCATTCAGCATCCAAACTGGAATCAAGTACTGGAGCCGCTAAGGCCACTCCAAAGCACAGGATGGTCAGGAAGACAGCGGGAGTCATGTCTCAGGGACCTGGAGAGGCAAGAAAAGGGAAGACATGACCACACCAATATTTTTAAAATGACTTCTTACTCCTTCCTAAGAAATCAATCCATCTGCGGTCGATAATATTCTTTGAACCACTCTTCCAAATTTTACTTTTTGAAAGATTGTCGGAAAAGGCTTAGGATAGGTTTGAAACAAATTAACCTCTGTTAGTCATTAGAACCAATGCAAAATGAAGAGCATCTGCCCAGCATTCTAGCAATGAAAACTTCGGGTGCACTACATACTATTATTTAAGAAAGATCTCCGCACACACTGAGAACCAGAAGCAGAAAGACAACCATGGGCTTAGGATATCACTGACTTATGATGCATACCAAGCAAAACTCCTATTATGTGGATCAGATTCAAATTTCAAGGTGAACCCAAGAATTGGGACCATGTGGCATCGTATCCCTTTCTAATATACAGTGAGTATTGGGCTTGTCTTGTTCTCTCCCTTCCTGAATGAAAATTTTGTGAAATGTCTTCTATAAAGAATGTGGGAAAGGCCAGGTGGTGTTGGTGCACACCTTTAATACCAGCACTCAGGAGGCAGAGGAAGGCAAATCTCTGTGAGTTCAAGGCCAACCTGGTCTAAAGAATGAGTTCCTGAACAGCCAGGACCACACAGTGACATCTTGTCTTAAAAAACAGGGGGTGGGATGGGGGAAGGATGTTCCTTCTCTCCTACAGTTGGGACCATGCAACCAAAATCCCCACAAGCTACCACAATGAGAATGGTGTCACACTGGGAAACCACAGGATGCCAGATCCACAAGTGGAGATGAAGTACAATAACAAGCCTTCAGTGGGATTTCAGGTTCACAACCTAAGGGTCTTTATCTTTAAAACAACATTTCCCGAAAGACCTGGATAGGGACATGAATCCTTCTACTACAACTGCATAGGTCAACTGAAAACAGATTAATCCAAGGATTATGTGCAGGAAATAATCTCTGTCACCCAGGAGGTAATAATGACGGTTGATGGTATGCATGGTAAATTCTGTCACTCTCTGGGACAGACCCAGGCTTGTACTTACAGGGAACCTATGCAAACCTGTACCTGGGGATAAGACTCTTTTCCGTCTCCTCTCCTCCACCTGCACACAGAAGGACTGCTGAGCCTTAGAATACATATCCTTTTGGGGGATCTGCCTGATTCTCCATGGAGTCTCGAGGATCCCCTCCAAGATCATTTCCCATCCTGTCTTGGTGCAGACAGAGCCTCACCTGTGGTGACTTATGCTGCTTCAGTCCAGCCACAGACTCAACTCCACGGAGCTTGCTGAGGACCCAGGATCTGACCCAGCAACACCTCACTCAGGCTTTAAATCCCAAGTATGTAGACAGTTGTCCCCGCCCCTCAGTCATGCCTGACATTTGATTGGCTATGTTGGTGACTGGATGAGGCCTCCAGGCACTGGGACTTTGGGCTTTTTTGAGATATGACTTCAGCCCAGTGCTGTAAGTTTGAGTCTGGGCTGCCTCTGTTAACAGCAGAGACCTGAATTTGTTGACCTGGTCAAAGGAAGTTAGATAAGCCATCCTGTAGGCCTTAGATCACAGTATATCTGGTATTTCGCTTGCAGATTTTGTTTTCTGGAAGAGCTGTGTGGTGGTGTACCCACAGAGTTTAGAATGGGAGGTTTGTGTTGCCATCCCAGGCATTGGCTTAGTCAGTGCATTCTATTTTGTGTATAGTCTGCTGCTATAGTTGGCTCCTGTTAGAACATAGACCCTGGGATTCTCTTTTTCCTTGTGTCAGAGTGCAACACAGTTGGGTCTCACAAGAATCTTTAGGGGAGAGTGACCCCCAAAGAGGAAAGTGATATTCAAGGCTGAACCATAATAGGAAATATGAATGAGTGCGCTGTGAGGGGTTTTATGAAACTTTCTGGTTTTTCTCTTGGAGATTACATTGAGCTGCATCTAGAAGCACCATCTACCTGTCACTCTTCATTGTGGCTACACAGACATCAACTGGATATTCCTGTATTTGCCATTTTCAGGACACAGCCTGGTAGAACTTAGTAGTACATGCTTTGTTTTGCAAGCACCAAAAAGAAATATTCAGAAGGGTCTCCTCTTCAAGGTAGCTCTGGACACTGGACAATAACACTCTTTTCTCCCTCCCCCTACTTTAGTACCCATCATTTCTTTTTGTCAGTGTAGACACTTGGCTACTGCTTTTGGATGAGTGTTTTGCCTTGTAAGAGTCCTGATGAAAGGTAGTTTCCATTGCACCAGTATTAAAATGTGGGACCATTAGCAGACATATTATCCCACACTAGTGATGGCCACACTTTCCTCATATGCTCAGGTTCTATTGTATCACATGGCACACAAACACCATATTTGACTTATCCATTGATTATTGGATTTGGTGGCTTTCTCAGATCAGGGAAGAAATATGATATCTATCTTCCCTATACTGTACACTGCCCAAGAAATAGCTAACAGTAGGAGATATAGCAAAGGATAATTTTTTAGATTCACATAAATTTTCTTAGAGAAATTGAGAAGCACCAATAAGAGGCATCAGTTCTTACGGTATTACCTACAGTCCTCTGTGCTCGGTTTCCCTTCTTCTTGTTTCACTCCTCATGCTTCCTATTTTTAAATTCATTTTTGTGAGTATCATACAGTATAATTTTGTCTCTTTCTTTCCCACGGCCCAACTCTGTGGCGATATATTATTTATGATTTATTAAACCTTGCCTGAGGGTTCAGAAAACAAAGCTAGCCACAAATCATAGAGCCAGGCAATGGTGGTATACACCTTTAATTCCAGGACTCAAGAGACAAGCAGATAGATTTCTTCTGTTAGTTCAAGGCCACGCTGAGCTACATGAAATTGACCCAGTACTACAGAGAAAGAGCTCACACAAAGGTGATCTCAGCACTTGGGATCACATGTCTTTAGTCCCAGCATGGGAGGTATAAATGGAAGAACCAAAGGGTCTCAGAGAAGAATTAGTCTCTAGCTACACTGAGGAGAGCATAGCAGTCTGAGTGAATCTGAGGAGCAGTGAAGTTGGGAGCAGTCTGAGGATCGCCCCTTTGGTCTGAGGTAGAGGTAAGAGCTAGTGGTTGGCTGCTTTTCTTCTCTGACCATCAACTTGAACCCCAATATCTGTATCTAGGTTTTTATTATTCATGTCACATGACTCCTCCCCGATCCCTTCTCAATATCTATCAATGTAAGTTCATGTTCTTTTTCTCATTCAATAAAAGGGGGAAAAGGCCACTAAGAACATAGAGTCTGATTTATGTTGGCCAGCTACTCCTGAGCATGTGACCTGCCTTAGACTGTGGATGTTGCACCCAGTGTCACACCATTGGGGAAATTTAATTCTCATTCTAAGTCTCTCTTACGTGTGAATAACTTCTTGATTAGCGGTGGGATTTTTTTGCAGATTTCCTTTCCTTCATTCTGGGATTTTGTCCAGTTGAGCTCTAGGTCTTGTGCATGTTGTGACAGTCACTGAAGTGTGTTCTAGACCCTATGACTATTCTGACACCCACTGAAGTTTGTGAACCACTGTTGTGGAGTTGCAAAATGGCAGGAGGAGCATGTGTAAATTGTGCAGGATAGGACAGGACATCTCGGTGTTAATCGTCTTATATCCTGCCGCCACCCCCAAAGGAGCAACACAGTAGCAATAATTTCCATCAATGTTTTGATTTCCGTGACTGGCATGTCATCAAAAATGCAGATGACCTCCTCCTGGAGTAACCCCATGACAGTGCATATGTGCCTGCATATTCATTGCAAATATCTTCATCTTATTTTCCACTGATCATAACAAGACTCCAAGAGTGATTTTCTCTAAGCACGAGTTTGAGAACACAAAAATCCATAAGGTAAGATACAGATTATGAAAATGGACAGGCGATTTGTGGAGAATAAATATGAGGCATTTTTAGAATTTTCAAATATGACATAAAATGCTGAAATATTCACTTTGAGATGAAAACTGTTATCTCATGAATATCTTAGTAAAACATTATAATGCTATCTACATAAAATTAAATTGTGTAGCACTTCATTACATGTATTGATTTTCCATTGATTTAATAATTTAGAATCATTAACACTGTGTCATATATCAATTACATCATACATTTCCTTCCATGATCCCCCCTTTTTTAAAATCTTTCTCAGTGTTTCCCTATTTTGCAATAATGTGTTGAAGCATGCTGTAATTGCAGCAGATATGCATCCATGGTGCTGATCCTGACAGCCAAGAAGCATGGTGAAATGGCATGCATCAATCCCTCCCTTTCTAGCCTGAGTTTCCATTCCTACTGGTGATTCTTAGCTTTCTTCTCATGCTAGGAACAAGTGGAAATACTATGGTAACTTGCTTCTCACTTTTATTATTAAAATTGAGGAGGTAAATGGTGTTGATGGATAAATTTGTTTTTCTAAAACTCTAAAATGTTTGATAACTCAAATTTCAGAATATTCTTGAAACTCCATTTTCTATTATTTCTACATTAAACCTATTTTCTGTTTTTTAATAAGGTAATGCAACACCAGTACTTTTTCAGTATTTCTTACATAAATCATTTCTTACTACACACACCATTTTATATAGATAATACCAACACTATTGTTTCTAAGATCTCAAGAAAAGGGTGGATTCTCATCAGAGACAACAGATGCAAGTTGCTGAAGTTGTTGGAACTCTGCAGCCCCAAGTCAAACCTAGACACCATCAGACTTTATAAGACTTTCTGAATAAATAGCATGTTTACATTAATATATTGATTACAGGACTGTCCTGGTCCAAAACTAAGGAAGCTGCCTAAGGTCTAGATATTACAAAGTAGATAAGTGATCCCCCGAAGTGCAATCATAATGTCTAAGATGTTCAAAAGCATCAAATCATAACATTGACCCTATTCCAGCTTCAATAGTGTTTTGTTGAAGCCTAATTTCAATGCATGGACATCATTACAGTGGTAG